CCCCAAAACCCCAAAACCCCAAAACCCCAAAACCCCTTCCTACATTTCTGACATTGATAAATAATAAATCCCAAATATGAATACAAGCGAGGAAGCTACAAAGAATGTACAGTTTCAAGAGAAGTCTAGTCAGCCGCCAGCTAGTGGGCTTAAACCCACAATTGAGCAAGCTTTCAGTAAGATCAGCGACCTCAATTTAGAACAACCTGAGAAGAGCCAGTCCAAAATTTTAGATGAATTAGAGTTCTTAGAGACCCGAACAAAGACGAAGAGGAAGGAAGAACGAAGAATGAAAGGTATCATCAGGTCTAAGCGATCAAGAGAAACTAAGAAACAGTATATCGTCAGTCTTGAGGCGAAAGTAAAAGAGCTCGAAGAAGAAAATTTCAGACTCCAAAATATCTTAATAAACTACAGATCGGATAAACTCAATGATATTGATAGGAAAGCAAAATAAGTTGATTGATAAAATTCAATCGGTAAAGCATGAGACAATCGAAAGATACTATGATCCTAAAACTAAGAAATGTAAAGACGACTTTCCTCATGATCTTTCAAAGAATTTTTCATTATGAATGTATAAGAACTTAGAAACTCATAAAGAGTTCTTAGATAGAACCTTCGAATGCTTGATCAACAGCTACAACTGTAATTGGAAGCCTGAATTCATAGGAGACCTAACAGCTTCTTACACAACTCCTTACAAAATTATCCAAAAATATGCTAAACTCCTGAAATCTCCTTGTGAAGAGAAATCAATGTATCAAAAGTCTGAACTGATCAAAACCCACAAACTCACAAAGGCGGATGAGTTCATGGCTTCTATGGATCCAACGCCATTACAGTACACTTATGGTCTCTCACTCTTCAAGAAGTACTACGATCTTAAGTGAAAATACAGCTGTGCTATTGAACATCTCTGTAAAGCAAAAGAGCTGCTTGAACGAACAAATCTTGAGAATTCTTCATTCATAAAGTTCATACTTTCTTCAAACATCTTTGATGTCCAGCAGCTTCTCAACTCGATGCTCAAAAAATCAGTGTATATGAAGGACAATGCGTTTAGAAATCTGTGGAAAGTCAGTGTCACTCCTGTCAAAGTCACTACTAATATTCATAATGACTCAATCATAGGAGATATAGCCAAGAAGTTACTCAAAGGCAGTCAAGAGATCAGTTTTGAGTTTAATAAATTCAGTTTGTAATATCTTTTTCTATAAGGAGTGATAGACAGGGGTTTTGGGGTTTTGGGGTTTTGGGGTTTTGGGG